AGGAACATATAGATAGCATAGACTCAAGCAGGTTCTCAGATGTACTTTGGTAAGTAAAGAATGTTTAAAATTATTTAATGGGAATCAAGTAAAAAGGCTAAGGCACGACGAGCCAGTTAAAGGGGTAGAAGAAGGGGTTTTGCCTCCCAGATGATCTGAAAGTTATGCTGAGTGTTAGCATCAGTGTTTTGCATACAGAATACTCTATAGGCATCTAGCTTCCCAACACTGGATGGAGAGTAATCTTCTGAAATAAATACACATTAAAGTAAGAATTAAGTATTTAATTACACACACGCAAGCACAAAGTAGTGCTTATAGTTCCTTAACGACCGATGAGAGAGAAACTGGACACTTTACAACAATGCAAATTTAAGAGGGACCTTCTGTGAACATGTGCTAAGATCACATCTTCTTTTTCTTTTGGTCTAAGTGTTCAATTCAGGACTGACTTAGGATTCACAGAACTGCACGCGATTTGATAACTGACGTGGCATCTTCTTAGACCTCATTAAGAGTGTTACGTGTCGCCAAAGGTTCTCATTTGGAGCTGCTCATTTGGAATGAATTGCAGGTCCACATTTGTATGAATTAGATTTGGACTTAAATGGTTTTTGATACATGATTCCATACAGACAAAAAATAAACGAGGCAAAATGACTCAAACGTGGCACGTTCGCATTGAGATAAAGGATTGGATTGGAGCATGTGCACATTATTATTTAAGCAGCTATTCTGATTTATTCTATTCCACGTATATATAGCATGAGACAGCTAAGGAAGAGTAGGGGAGTGCTTAGTACCCAGATATTATGGCCAGGTAAGTTGCAGTTAAATATCAGTTATGAAAATGTTAGGGACAATTGGCCTCACACCCTTTACAATCTAAAGGACTCTGATTCACATCCGAAGGGCAGTATCTCTTTTTAAGGGTAAGGACTATGCCAGCTTCTTCCATCTCCCAGATATTTATGTATCCCATATGGTGAGATATTCTCCCAAGGGACATTGTGGTAAAGAATAATTAACCATATGGAACGCCCCAGACACTGTAGATAAACTAAACATACATTTTCCAAGGTGCGTTTGATGGGACATTAGTCTTGGAAGATAATTTACAAGAAAAAGACTAATAAGTACAGAGTTGCCTTATATTTTACCACCCTCTCTTGGAGCTTCACAGTGTACCTTAGCATAATAAAAGCACTGATAAATCCTGCAGTGAAGAAAAGAGAAACACACACAACCTACATTTCCAAGGCTATCTGAACCAGCTTCTACATTATTTGTTTAGGGTTTTATGTGATACAAATTAATGGCTCATAGAATGTATTTGGCAAACAGGACTCCAAAAATATTCGTTTGGTGTCTATGTCTCTTGGTACGTGAAATACTAACTGTTCAAAAAAGGAAGAGATGAGCTTTACTTACAGTTCAGTGACATCTCTTGGAATTCCTTTGGGCAAGACCTTCAAGCCCTTGTTGCTACATCGGACCACTGTGTCTAGGCAGGTACATTCCGTAGGACAGCGAGACAGTGGGGAGCAACTGTTGTCGTCATTTCCTAAGTTGCAAAAGAAACATAGGAAAACCCAGATTCGTGGCTTTGAAGATGTTAGAAGTGATTCTTTGCCTTTAAATTAAGGTAACAAGCATACATCTTGAACCATATGATTGCTGACGTATAGGGAATGAAGTGCTGACAAATTGACACCATATGGTTTATCTAGTACTGTTTTCAGACTGCCTAAGGCAGAATTCCAGAAGGTAATCTCTGGTTTGTATTATCAATACCATTAGAGTCGTTATTTTATTTGTTTAGTTATTTATACAAATTATAAGTTTAATTAGCATCTCTAAATGTACACTGAATTACGGAGAAACTGTAAGGAGACAGACATAAGAGACATAAAGGGACAGAGTAATTTAAAATGTTTAGCAAAAATTGTATGGGTTCCTCATTTTAAAATACAGCGCTCAGATGAGCTCTCCAGTCATGCGCAATGATATCAGAACTTGCTCTACCTACCTTACAGGGCTATTATGCGAATCGTATGGGATGATATATAGAGTGCATTAAAAATAATGAAAAAAATTATTATTTTTGTTAGATTTACTAGCATTACTATTTTAGCAGTCAATTGCTTTTTCTCATTTGGAAATGGTAGTTACTAAAAGAGATGCTCAGGATAATAAGGAAGCATTAAAAGGAAGCTATAAACATAGTACTGACCACCAGTTGGAAACTGGAAGACCTAAAACATTCAGACACACAAAGTAGACTTGGATGTCAAAGTGCAGTCTGAGAAGGTAAGCGTCCTATTGCTAAAACGTGACATAACAAAACCATGAAACAAAGCGAAAGATGCTCAATAACTATCTTTGGACTAGTCCGCTGTTGAGTTGTGCCTGTGGCCTCAGAACGGTCACCTGGATGCCTGGTGACCGAAGATGCGGCAAGGCTGTCTTACCGTCATCACACGTGAAGTCTTGAATGGCCACATCCTGGATGGGGATTTCTTTGAGGAAGTATGGTTTCTGACATCGAGGATTTCCGGTTACAATTCTCTTCTTTCTGAGCCATTCTCCCAACCAAGCCAGGTAGCAATTACAGTTAAAGGGATTGGCCAAGAGATTTCTAAACGCCACATGCAAACAATGTACAGTTGAGTTCACGGTTTCACTTTCTTACTTTTCGAAGCCCCATGCTACCATTCCTCCATGCCATTTCTGTGGCAATGGCTCCCTCTTATTCTTTGTATTCCCCGCCCTCAGCCCCACTTAACATTCAGGCACACACAGCATGTGGGATGCATTTTTTGCCTAAAATATTTACGTGTGAAACATAAAGTAACAACGACACTTTCACGTAAGAATTCTTCAAATAATTTCATGGGAAAAATAAACTGAAGGTAGTAATTTAGGGTTTATGCAGTGGATCCTGGGAGATATCTCATTTAGAGATAATTTAAACTTGTCTGAGATCGGACTTATTGTCAGACTTCCTTACACTGATAATGCAGTAAGTTAACATAAAGATGAAGGCTGATTACCTTGTATGATTGAGTTTAACCTGACAACAGCTATTTCATTAATTTGTCATTCCAAGATTTCCATCTCTTATTTGCTCTAGAGACTAGGTTTCCCATCTAAACTGACAGCCGAGTTGATTAAATGCCAGTTATAAAAATGAATTTACTTCTACAAATCTCCATACTTCTGGCATCTTACTACTTCAGCACAAATCTATTGACAACCCCATTATTTATAAACATGCCATCTTTAATATGCACAAATTAGTCACTCCATGTAAAATGTTACATTTTATGTGGAAAGAGGATTAAGCACTTTCCTGATGGATGGATGCTTCCTTCAAACAATTTCTTCAGTGACTTCAGCTATGTTGCATGTTTTTTTTTCTTTCTAACTACCTTTTGAGTTAGATTAGTATATTTAAATGCCACCATTACTAAAAAATCAAATCAGTTACGAGATTTATCATTTCAAACGTTGCTTTCTAGATACCTTTTAGACATACAAGAGGCCTTAAATACAGTATTTGGAGAGGGATATATATGTATATATGTATATGTGTATAGACATATACATATATACATATATATATTTATTTCTGAATTCTGTCTATAGACCTACGAATAGCCTTTATTCTTGAACTGTCTACATAAAATATCCACCTGGACAGGCTCAACTGATTTCTTCAGTATTTTCCTAATGTCACAGTAAATGCCCTCCAGTGAACAGCTTTTATTGTTGGTCTCGTCATCCTAACGCAGCTCCTGTCACTGTGAACGATCCTTTAGAGCACAGCGTGTTGGCAATAACCTTATCAACCCTGTTTTTACGATACTTATTCTGAAAAGACTCCAGTGTGAGAAGGCTGGGGAAAATCTGTAACATTTCTTTTATTTGCAACACAATCAGTTATAATAAGATTAAAGTTTATCAATTAAGCCACGGTACATTATTATTAAAAAAATGAACTAAAAATCCTATGATGTTTTGTTAAATTTTAATGTACAACAGAAGGTGATGGTTTTAGAAAAATTAAAATCTAACATGAACGAATTTGTCTTTTTTACAAAAAAAAACCCCTAAATCCTTGACCATATTTTTATGAAGTGCCTAATAATGCATTCAAATGTTATCGATGAAAGTAGTAAATATAGTACGGTGGCTCACATAATACACAAATGAAGACTATTTTTCATACTTACAGAGTAGATAAAGAATGGAGAGTATCAAATGCCCCCGGTGCAATTGTAGTAATTTGATTATCATATAAAGAAAGCAAACGCACAGAACTGAGTCCTATGAAGCTGTCATTCCCCACACAGCTTATGCGATTACTTCTCAACATCCTGAGGGAATAAAACAGAACACTGCTATAGAGATAAAGCATCAGGCAATCAATTCTGCCTATCTGAGGACCAAAATAGCCCCTCTTAGTGGATGTGTAGCATTCATTACTGTGTCCTGAATGTTCTCTTGTCATTAAGAATTGCTATGGCTATGTACCGAGAACCTTGTGCAAAAAATAAAATGCTTAGATTTGTCAATGATTAGACTCAAGTTACGAAAAGCATGGTGAGCCTCCGTGTGGACCTACAATCCCATTTGACGAGGGTAGATGTTTTCCTTTGATGCTGTAATTACGTTGGCATGACTATATAATGTTCTAAGTCCACCTACAGCTCTCTAAGCCCTTAGAGTCCTATCATTTGCGTATTCACCGTAGTATTGCATTTGAGGTTGGACAGAAAAGAATATGGCACTAAAGAATCAATAACCACAGCAGAACGAAGGGCATCTCAGGAACTCACACACCACATCACTGGCAACACCAGCTGGGAGTAAACTTGACTGAGCAACCACAAAGATGCACAGATTACTTTATTTATGAAAAATGTTTCATTGTTTAAAGTCCAGAACTTAAAAAGAGGCAATAGTAAACATATCCCAGTTGCTTACAATAAAGTTGAAGTGGATTTCTCTTGAAAAAATACCCTCTATTTAGGGGAGGGTGGGAGTCATTGCCATTAATAGTATTAACACTGTGGTCATTTAGTCATCACTGCTCAAGTTTTGGTGCAGTTCTCAATCTTGTCTGAACTGCTTATTTGTGAGGCTTGGAAAAGGAACAAAAGGCTTCTAAAAATTCCATGTCAAAATGAATAGCTGCCATAAACCTTACTCAGCATTACTGAAAAGTCAGTTTTCCTTAATTTTTCTAAACACGAGTTGACCACCCTACTACAAGATTGCAGGATGGAAAAAAAGAGCAAAAATAAATTAACAACCAAGTGTTCCTTTATAATTCTAGACTGCTTTATCATAAATAAGAAATATCAACTTTTGCGTTTTGCTAAGTCACAGATCAGAAGAAGAAAGGATGATGCTCTCCTATTAAGACATCATTTCACATTAGGGAACAAAGAAATGCAGAACAGAAAAGTATTTCTATCAGCACGGTCCTCTGCCATAAATAATAAAGAGCACCTGGTCTCGTTGGAGTCACAGACCTCTGGGAGAAGTCACTAGAAACATCTGTAAGCAAACATATGTACCACATTTTGCCTGCAATCGGGGATTCAAAGACCCATAGAAATATGCATATGTGTTACTAAGAGGTTTACTAGTCCCTAAGGTTTAAGAAGTTTAAGGGCAACAGGGTTTCCTGTCAAAATCTTTGTAGCTCTGAGATGAATGATAGCATTGAGAGGACTAGATATGTCCATATGAACCTACTTTAGGCTTTTCACTACCCTGAGCCCTGAGCTTGGCTCTAAATGCTCTCTTATGCTTGTGGTGACACAGTGGGACTAATTAGAAAGCCAGTGGGTGTCCGCCTCAGGTGCCAAAACATAAGAGGCACAAAAATATTGCTAGAAAAATAAAGGAGGTAAAGGAGATGAAGGAGAGTCCTGTGAATGGGACTAGTCAGAAGAAATACTTTGATAAACTCTTTGGAGTGGTGTTATAGACTGAATTGTGAATTTCAAAAAAAAAAAAAATGTTCCTACACTGAAGCCATAACTCCCCAGGACTCTCCTTGGAAATAGGGCCTTTAGAGAGGTAAATAAGGTTAAATGAGGTCTTACAGGTAGGAACCTAATCTGATAGAACTGGTGTCCTTATAAGAAGAGAAAGGGACTCTAGAACACACAAAGGAAAAGCCATATAATGATGCAGCAGAGAGGTAGCCATCTACAAGCCAAGGCCAAGAATTCTCACCGGAAACCAACGCTCTCAGCCCTTTGATCTTAGGCTTCTAGCCTCCAGAACTGAGAAAACGAATTCTGTTGTTTAAGTCATCCAATCTGCAATTTCTTGTTACGGCAGCCCGAGGAGAAGGTTCCAGTAACAAGCAGTCCCTTGACTTCTGCTTGCTGCAGGATATGTGTTTTGATGAGTTACCTGAGAGCGCTTGGGGAGGGGGTGGGGCAGAGGAGATGCAGCCACCTGCGGCATATCTTCTCTGCCTCCCTTCTGCACACTCCTCAGCATCTCCTCCATGAAAAGGCTGAGGGAACACTTAAATAATGTGTCCAGGTTAGCCCATGGGGGCTGGTCGGCAGGTGGCAGGCTGGTCCTGCTGGAGGGTTAGGATCCAGGCTATTCCCCAAGGAGCATCCTTCTCCCCTGGGCAGAGGTTTGTTAGTGGGGTTTGCATTTGGGATGCTGGTAACACATCCCCACTGGCTGGGGGAAGGCCCTCTCCCTTTACATCTGGTAAAGAGCAGACCATAGACTCCCGAGGTCTCACTCCCCCGGCCGTGGCTCTGTGGACTGCGGAGAGGCTGAGGGTGTAGGGGAGACAGTGGAGCCTGGGCTTCTCTCTTGCAGTCACCAAGGGCTGCTGCTTAGTGACAAGTAGTTCCCCTCATATCTTTCAAAAGCTTAACATTTGATTTGTGTCTCTTCCAATTTTTAGGCCACCCCTTTTGTCAAACATGGTTATGTACTTTAGAAATAATAAAAACTAAATATATGCTCTGTAGAAAATTCGAGTAACTCAAACTGCTCTCCTTACTAGTCAATCCAATCCCATCCTCCTTGGCCAGCAATGTTCTGGAAACATACAGAATTTCTTTTTCCCAACCTCACTACCCCTGGGCAAGGAGACATAATTCTCAGCATGTTTACTCTGAAACAGATATTGTAAGTTCTACCCATAGTCAGTCTCTCTCTTTTTTACTAAGACCTTGCAGGGGTAGGAAAAGGTGATCTCCAAATTCGCTGTTAGATTTATTTTGCCACAGGGGTTGGAGCAGACTCTGAAGCTAGAAACCTTGGGCCAAGACGGAGTGTTAGATGGAGGTGTTCATGGAAAAGGAAAGAGAATGGTCGTGAAGCAGAACAGAGGACGAAGATCTGTACAAGCGCTGGAGGAAAGATGATCTTTTTTGCTGAGGAATCCACAGCCGGGGGAGACTTGATCTTTTGCAAGTCACATACTGAAATCAGGGATATTAGAATAAGAGACTGTCTGCATCCACAAAATGTGTGTGTGTGTGTGTGTGTATGTGTGTGTGTGTGTGTGTCTGTGTGTGTGAGAGTGGATGTCCATGCGGTTTTTAAGGCTTTAATTAAACGAGACAGAGAGAGAAGAAAAGAGGGAGAAGGAGAGAGGGAGAGGAAGAGAGAAAGAGAGAGAGGGAGGAAGAGTAGGATCTATATCCTCTCTCCAGGATTATAATGAACAGTGAACTACAATCCTGTGGTGGAAGGATCACAATGCAAATGAGAACACTTACAAAGTTTTGAGGCTTTCCAATCCCTTGAACATCTTATGCTGCACATTTTCCAAACGGTTACTTGTGAGAAGTATTTCATTCACACCAGATGCTCCTTCAAAAGCTCCCTCTTCAATGTCTGTGATCTTATTGTTGCTAAAGTTTCTAAGTAAAAATTGTTGAAAAAAAAAAAAAAGCTTTTAAACAATTTCCTTCTGACAATGAGGGCATTGAGACAACATATTTGATCACTTTCTTCCACAATCTGCTAGCTCCTCACTGCCCAGCACTCCTAAGGCTCTGAAGAGATCCCATGTCCTGAATCCATCGAGCCAAAGTGACATACGAAAGGCTAGTGTTCATGGTGAAAAATGGCAGCCTGATCATTGTCAGAATGATCTGGAAGTGTCCCTAGGAGTATAAAATTCTTGAGGTCAGCTGCTGAATTGCATAAAGCTTTGTTTACCACAGCACTTAATAAGGAACTTCTCAAAGAAATACCCCTGATTAAAACTGTTGAATGAATTAATGACTAAAAGAAAGCGACCGAGTTAAAAGAAGGATGGACTAACATGTGTTAGTGTTTAGATAGCATCAAAAATATATTTGAATGAGTTTGTTCCCAGTTAAACGTCTCATGGAATAATGTGTCAAAATAACCAACTTAACTGTCAGTATTTTGTATGATACAAAATACAACGTTTGCCCAGAGAGCAAGAACATCCAATTGAGGTAACACTTCTCCGGACTAGGAATGCCCATATAAAAAGAATCATTTTTATGTAACATTGTATTTTTCTCAGAGCATTGGACATATTAGCTGCTCAATAAATACGTATCGAAGTGAAAGGCATCTTATGGCTAAAAAGAAAGAGCAGTGAGTATTAGTGACAAAGGACAATTAAGCAATTAGAAATTCTTTGCAAGGCAGTATTATAATATGAAGGTCGAGAGCACAGAAGTAGTTTTTGTCTTCTCTGCCTCTTATAGTCTGTGTGACCGTGGGCCAGTTCCCTATCTATCTAAAAGTACAGATGTCACAGAAGAATGCTCCTTTCCTTGGTCTGATGTTTCCTCCTATGTGGCGGGTGCCCCACTGGCCTTAGGACCTTGGCCTCTGTCTTGTCTCTCCCTCTCTCCCCGTCAAGGGGGGGAAGTCCTGTCTTGAGTGTTGTTGAAGCTGCCGAGCTTACAAACTTATTTTAAAATATGAGTTGTGGACATGTAATCACACAGATGAGCCATCGAGCCGGTTTAGCAATCATTAATTCTCTCTTCTAATGAAAGTTTAATGAAGCAAAAAGTCAAGTAGTTGACATGGATGTGCTGAAGGAGAAGTAACGGCATGGCTTGGGAAATAGTAAAGGAAGTTACGAAACA